TTGAAACAGGTCCCCCAAACTTGCCTATTATTGAACAATTCTCTGCTCTTACTGGACATGTAGCAATTCCATCTTGTTATGTGTTTGTGTTCCTAATCTCTCATACATAGGCAATTGTCTTATTTGAGATTAAGCAGATATTTTATTTTTGATTTTTTTAAAAAAAAACTAGAAATGCCAACATTTGTTAATGGTATTATCCTTTAAAAATTATTATTTTTATTATTACAAAATTTTTCAAATCTGAAAATTTCAATTGGAGTTTCATAATTGCCTTATAATTATTATGTCTATAAGTACAAATTGAATAGTAACATGCTTATCTATCAAAGATGTGGGTTTTCCCCCCTTTTACTGAATATTGGTGTGCTTTCCTGTGCTTTAATGCAGCTTCTTTCTAAATTTCTGTGAGGTCAAGTTTCCTAAATGGAGTGTTTATTTCTGGTTGTAGTAGATTTATTGCCACTTCTGTAATTCATGAGCTTCAGTTTTGAGGGGCTGGCCCTAATTTGTGTATTCATCTGAAATTCCTTTTGAAAATGGGGGAAAGGACTACACTTAGTGTTATCTGCATTAAATCTGATCAAACTCAGGTGTGTAAGTCAGCCATATGCCATTCTCTGTATAGTTTGTGAAACATTACCACTAGGTCTTCATCATAAAAGCCATTCTTAGCCTCTCAGCTAAGTAGTCAGTTTTGTACAAATCCCTTCTTATGTTATTTTATTGAAATAAGTTAGGAGTCAGGAAAAAAAATAATAATGGAGTGAAGCAGTTAAAACCCTTTAATCATAAGTGATGTTTCCTTACATAAACAGCAACACAATACAAAGCAACATCTTTCTCAATTAAATTTCTTTCATTATAGTTACTCACTTTACAAGCTTTATTAATACCTGAGCAGCAAAAAAATATCAGTCCAAGGAATGTGAAAGCTTATTTACTTTTATTGGAATTTAATTGATAGATTGTCCATAAATTTGATTGGAATCTAATGTATATTCATCATATAAAAATCACTTTCTAATTAATGTACTCTGCTAAGATAATCCATTTTACTTAAAGTCTTTGTTTTCTATTTGGTTTTTGTGTGTGTCTATGTGTCTGTCTCTATGTTTTTTTTCTATAATCGTTCATTATTTAATAATGTAATATGTACCCAAATGAACATTTTGGATAACTGAGTTGCTTAAATCCAACAACTTTATCTTATCTGTTATACTGATATACAAACCCCTGCTGACATCTGATTTCTATATTAGTGCTGCAGTCTTACTTTATTTATTTTGAGTTACCTGTAGATTCTTCTCTAGTACTTTACAAATATGTGTTTTACTTTCTCTCTGCATATTATATCCAGCATACAATTCTGTACTATTAGTATTGATAACTAGCTATATGACTAATCATTTTTTTTACTTTTAATTTATCATGAGGGATCCTTTATATAGATTGTTTAGAGGAGGAGTGATGTGTGTCAGCCCTAACTTTTGATCCTATCTAGTTGTGTACTATTAGGAAAGGTAATCTCTCTGACCCTTCTCCTTTTTTCCTGCAAAAATAATCCAGTGAAATTAACATATCTTACAGAATTGTTGCAAGGTTTGAAGCAGTCAGACGAAGTAAATCAGGATGGTAGGTTTGCTGTTGTTTGTACCATTTAAAGCATATTGTATATAAATGATGGAGAAGAATTTAGAATAAAAAAAACTTAATTATCTTGATGTGAGGCAGAAAAGTTCCTGTGAATTAAGAAAGTTGACACAGAAATTATATAGAAATGTTAGTTTGATGTGTATTGCATTTGTAAGATTTTTTCCTCCCAGAATGGGCTTATGCAGTTTCTCTTTTCAGATCAGAAACTTCTCTCCATTCAGTAGGAACTGAATGACTCTCTAGAATTTTGCAATTCTAAAACTATGTAATATTCTGATATATAGCTAAGTCAGTCATGGTGACTGCTAAACTGTGAATGTGGGTACTTCCCTTTCATTTCAGTTAAATCACTTTATCTCTAACATTTTAGCTAACATCTTGTTAAATGCTGTTCACAGTTTAACTTTTTTATTATCTTTTCCTACAGTCCATTTTAAAAAAATTCTTAGCTTCCTGTCCCGCTCAGTGTATTCATCAATATACCATATTTTAGAAGAATTCCTAAGATAGCAGAGCACAGAGACTCATTGAGAAATATGGATATAAAAATCTAAAACTTGCCCTGCTTGTTTTTTTCAAACATATATGTATGGATCATCCAAGAAATCTACCCAGAATTCTTATCTGAGGCACAAATGACCAGGCTCAAATTATCCTACTTCCAACGCAGTATGCAAAGACCCAGCTCTCTGGAAAAGGTTTTTAATACTTGGAAAGGTGGAAGGAAAGAGAGTAAGAGAATGACAATAGCAAGGTGGTTGGACTCAATTATGGTGATGATGAGTATACCCTTGGAAGACCTGTAAGACCATGTTAGGACAGATCATCATGCAGAAAATCTGTCCATTGTTTTTCATTTCAAATAATAGGAAGATCTTAATTTTCTCCATTGCAAATACTCTGCTTGGGATTTAATAACAGATTCTTTTGTTTGCCTTCTTTCTCCTAATAATACAACTGCTGTAGTATTAACTTTGTATACTTTTATCTATACACTTCTCTAATGGGAAAAGGAAGCCCCATCAGTACGAATTTTGAAGCTAGCTCTGGGGATTCACAGAGAAACCTTCAAAGCTCCAGCTGACTCCTAAGTCAACAGTTTCTTCTCAGACACATATAATTAATCAACTTTGAAAACAGCTCTGTGTTTATATTCATGTTCCAAACATTTAATTTGTTTATTTAGTTGTATTTGACTTACTTGCTTTGTTATTTTTAACATTTCCTACATGGGCTTCATTTATTGGTTTGTTCAACACTGTTCTTGGGTTGTTTTTTTCCAGACAAACCTTAAAAATGGTTAAAATGTTCATCTGTATAAATAGCCAGATATATAATTATTTTCCAAACCAAAAAAACCACTTTGTGATGCATTTACTTAGAAATGAGATTTGCAGGTTTTAATAAATAGGCTAAAATTAAAGGTTAACCATTAGATAGTGCTTAGTAACATACAGCATAAACTTTTATACAGGTTGAGTAATTTTATCTTATTTATATAACATGAATCATATTCTAAATTGATGTATAATTATTTGATTATTTATAATAATCATTTTTATATAGCTGCCCATCTCACCAAAGGCAACTCTGTGTGGCACACAGCAAAAAAATCCCAAAATCTTCAGAAGGGATTCTAGAGCCTTTGGGGTGAAGGGAAGGCTCCCATTTTGATCACAGTAAGGGGGTGGAAGAGATAGACTTCATTTCCCAGTAAGAGGTCCTAGTCTTTTAATTATTTAAAGAAAAACAAGTTAACATAGCTATAATCAATCAGTGTTGAATACTTTCACGTCTTGTTGATTTCAGTCAGAGCATTAAGCATGGGTTTTAATTGCTCCCATGAAAGTCAAGAAGAATTAACATGATTTAATGTTTTTGGGTACTATTGTTTTTAGTTTGATTGCTTTGAGTAATTATAAATAAACTTTATGGCTTGAGACATACAAGACTGTTTTCAAAATATTCACACTAAAATCATATGATATCTGACAGAAACAAAGTCTTGGTAGATTTATTACTGCCTTCAAAAACTTATCAAAGCAAAATGACTTTTGTATAAAGTACTTAAACCTTGCTTTCATTTGTTTTAATTGAATGTGGAAGTAAAATATCTGGAGATAATATGTTCATTTTTATCTGTCACACAAAGAACAAGCTTAGATGTGATGAAATGGATCCAATTACTTATGCTGGCTGTTAGATAAACAGAAGAAAACCTCTGATGACATTAGTTGAAGTTTTGTTCCCAAAGTTAATTTCAGAAAACTCTTTCTTTGTAGTCAGACCTTTAATCCTCGATAGAGGTTATAATAATACTTAAATCAGCTCTACGAGTCTGAGAAATAGCAGTCCATGCATCAGGCATTGAATTTTCACTTCACTATTTATTTTAAATGTTATTTTATTTAGAGTGCAATCATAAACATGTCTTTTAGCAAGTATGCCCTACTGAATTCAGGGGGGATTATTCTCTGGCAGCTCATAATTCTGTTCATTTGGTTATAATTTAAGACATTTAATATTTTTTAAAAAAATAGCACTTAGCATTTTGACATATACTGTTCCATAGTCCTTTACAACACTCTCTGAGTGGTTTACATTGTCAGCATATTGTCCCCAACAATGTGGGTCCTCATTTTACCAACCTCAGAATGAATGAAGACTGAGCCAACCTTGAGCTAATCAGGATTATTTTTTAAAAAATGATTCATTTTAACTTTTTAATTACATTTTACTTTTTTGTTACTGTATTTCACATATTGCAAGAAAATACTTTATTTTCCAAAAAACTGAGAGACTTAGTCCATATCTAAATTACAACAGCAACTGAGACTTATCCTCACAAAGTGATGCAATCACATGATACGCTTTATGATTTCATAGCTTAATAATAGCAATTTGGGAATCCACCTGTACAAATATCAAGAGTTGCTTTCATACTTCGCTATAATGTGCTGTCACCTCTTCTATCTGTCCCTCTTCCTTTCCTATATCAGTTTCCTACCTTCCTTCTGATTTGAGGTTGATCATAATTTATTTTTTGAACCATGATTAAAACGATATCATTATCATGTTATTGTTATGTTATCTCTTTTTTCTAACAATGTAGGTATCATATATAGAAAATATTCCTTGCAATCATAACTAGATTAGGCTAAGACAAAGTGACTAGCTTTGTAGCTCCGTAACTTAATGAGAACTTTGGTCTTTGCAGTCTGAGCCTAATCAATAATATATACTGGCAATTGCCTAATGTACAAGGTGAGAAAGAAGACTTGAATAAAAATTCCTCAGGTATAATTTGCCTTGTGGTTATATTATTTTTTTATTCATTTTACTAGGTTAAAGTGGGACATGAAATTACAACTGGAACAGGACCCAAGAAGAAAATAGCGAAACGGAATGCCTCTAAAGCTGTGTTATTACAGCTTGGCTGTAAAGCCTCTTCTCTACTTCAGGAACAGTCAGAAACGGTAAGGGTTTGTTCAATCACAAGAAGAGAAATGCCTCATGCTTCTTCAATATTTGTTTTTTAAATATACTCAGTCCAATTGCTGTAAGAACATGGTACAGTTATTTCCGATCTTCCCAGCCAGCTTCTCACAAGCAAAGTAAATTGGGAAGTTGGATTCGCTTAATGATCTTATGATTTCCTTAACCACCACACTAAAAATGGTTGTAAAATTAATCCAGTCATGTGACAATTTATTTAATGACTGCATTGCTTAGCAATCAAAATTTTGGCCCCAATTGTGGTTGTAAGTTGAAGAGTGCCTGTATGGTTATTGCCTTCTGTTCATGTATGGACTTCTCCTAACCATCTGGTTGGCCACTGGGGCAAATAGGATGGTAGAAGCACATACCACTCAACTGTTCTCATTGAACAATCTGGTGTCCTTATTTTCAAAGCATCTCATCTCCTATGTGTACATAAACAATATTTAATAGTGATTGTATTCTTCTGTGTCATGCACATTTTATGTTCTTATGTATATTTATATATCAGCTAGAAGAGATCAAGCGATGGAATTGTCAAAATGTTGGCTGTCCAGAACCAAAAAGTTAGTGAAACATTTGTATTCATCCATTTTTACATCAATTATATAAAAATTTTAAATAAAAGATATATGATATAATAAGATGCAATAATGCAAATGAATAATGTTTTAAAAATGTGATCATTTTAATATTTTAATCAGAATAATTGTTTCAACAAAATTATGGATAAAGCTAATTTGATCAGAATCAATTGCAAATGGTGATCACGTGACTGCTATGTCTGTTACTGAAGGCCCACATTTGAACATGTGACTGTAGGGACATTGCAATAGTTGTAAATATGATCATAAGTCACTTTTTGTAACTCAGAAGGGTTGCTAAATTAATGGTTTTAAGTCAAGAACTACGTGTATTATAGGAAAGGTACTATAAAATCCAGTGACTGACTGGTTAGCTTGCAAAATACAACTAATCCTTGCCACCATTGGTTTGTACCACCAATGTTTGGGAGAAATAGAGTTGAAAAAAACTTTAGAAAGTTTATTCAACTTACCCCTTAGAAGTTATAAGTTTCATAACTATCCTGTTTACTAACTTAAGAACTATATCTTTTTTAATGCTCTTTGCCCTTGTCAATCAGCAGTGCTTTAGACAAAATCATTTGAGACTGTCTTCTAGTAATTTATCACAGATAGTTCTGTTTGATCTGCAAGTTTCATTAATGTTTTTCAAAATAAAGTTATGATCATTTTTTTTATTGAAAATTTTTAAAATTTTACAAAAACAACCCTGCCCAACCCTCCCCAACCCTCCCATTCCCTCCCCCAATCTTCCCAGAGCTGAATATAGGCTTAATTGAAAGTTCTTCAAAAAATCTTTAAAAAAATTATAAACCATAAATAAATCTAAATACATTACTTAAACAACTTATAAAATGATTAACAATAATATACATGTAAAAAAACATAAATATTAAGAAAAAAAATACTTAGAAAGAAAAAAAAATAAATAAAAAAGAAAGGAAAAAAGAAAAGAAATATAAGAAAATAAAATAAAAATAAAAAATAAAAGAAAAAAAGAATACAATCTATAAAATATTAAGTTTTATATATAAGTTATTGAAAAACTAAATAATATTTTTTTATATCCAACTTATGTTGTATAAAATCTATCCATTTTTTCCATACCGCAAAATACTTCTCTTGCGATTGGTCCTTCAAAAAAGCCGAAATCTTTGCCATTTCGGCCAAATAAGAAACTTTAAAAAATCACTCTTGCAAAGTAGGCAAAGATTCCTTCTTCCAACATTGCCCTACTAACAACCTTGCGGCTGTAATTAAATTTAACATCAATGTAATCTCCTTAGTATCACAATCAGTAACAATACCTAACAAGAACAATTGTGGGGTAAATTTTACCCTCCTTCTAAAAATTCTTTGAATATTCCACCATATCTTAATCCAAAAGGCTTTTATATTTTTACATGACCACCAGATATGATAGTAAGTAGCATCCAAACATCCACATCTCCAACATTTGGGCTATAAGTCAGGATACATATGAGACATTTTTTGTGGATCAAGGTGCCATCTGTAAAACATTTTATAAAAATTCTCCCTTAAGTTCTGGGCTTGTGTAAATTTGACATTCCTCACCCAGATAATTTCCCAAGTTTCTAGTAGAACTGGTTCACCAAAATTTTGTGCCCATTTAATCATACGTTCTTTAATTAATTCTGCTTCTGAATCCAATTCTACTAGTACCCCATAAATTCTCTTAATGTGAGTTCGTCTTTGATCTTTTACTTGTTTAAAAAAAATTTCATCTTCTCTAAGCAAACCCACATTACAATCTATCTTCCATCTATCCACTATTTGTCTATACTGAAACCATGAGTACATAATATTTTCTTGTGCTAAATCTTCCAAAGATTTTAACTGCCAATTTTTACCGTCCCATCTAAGTAATTGTGCGTAAGAAACACTATCCATCTTGACTCCTCTCCTTATCCCCTCTATGGCATGCCAAGGTATAGCCCATAATGGAATTTTAGAATCACTTCTATGATATTTCCTCCAAACCCGAAGTAAAGAAATCCTTATAATATGAGATTTAAAAACCCTATCAACTTTTTTATTAAAAATTAGGTAGGCATGCCATCCAAAAAGTAAATCCCAACCCTCCAAGAGGAGTATTTCTGCATTTGTTAAATTAACCCAATCACTAATTAATGTTAAAACCACAGCATCATAATACAATTTCAAGTTCGGTACCTTGAGTCCACCTCTCTTACGAATGTCTTGTATAATTTTAAGCTTTACTCTTGGTTTTTTCCCTGCCCAGATAAATTTATTAATACCTTTCTGCCATTCATTTAAATTAACCTCATTCTTTAAGATGGGTATCATTTGAAATAAGAAAAGGAACTTTGGCAGAACATTCATTTTAATCGCTGCAATTCTTCCCAAAAGAGATAATTGCAACTTCTCCCAATTTTTCAAATCTCTTTGTATCCTGACCCACAACCTTTCATAATTATTTTTATACAATTTTACATTAGAGACAGATAAAGTAACCCCCAAGTATTTTACCTTATCAACCACCTCAAAATCTGTCAAATTAACCAAAGTCTGCTTATCCAGATTGGTCATATTTTTGGGTAATATTTTAGTCTTATTGTTATTAATTTTGAAACCCGAAACCTGTCCATATTGATATATCAATTGTAATAACTCTACTACAGAATAAGTAGGTTGAGATAAGGTAACCACCAAGTCATCTGCAAAGGCTCTTAATTTATATTCTTTTTTATTGACTTCTATTCCTTTTATTTGTTGTGATTCTCGAATTTTAATCAACAATATTTCCAAAGTTAGAACAAACAGCAGTGGTGACAATGGACATCCCTGTCTAGTCCCTTTTTCTATTGTAAAAACCTCTGACAAACTCCCATTAACTATAAGTTGTGCCGTTTGTTTTTGATAAATAACACCAAGAGCTTGTAAAATTTTTTCTCCAAAATTCATTTTCTCAATTAGTCTTAACATAAATTGCCAATTCAATTGGTCAAAAGCTTTTTCAGCATCTAAAAATATCAATCCTGCATAAACTTGATTATTTTTGTCTAAATATTCTAATAAATTAATAATTTGTCTGACATTATTCTTCATGTACCTTCCAGTTATAAAACCTGTTTGATCCTCATGTATAACCTGATGCAAAACCCTCATAAGCCTATTAGCTAAGATTTTTGCAAAAATCTTGTAATCTACATTTAGGAGAGATATAGGTCTATAATTCTTTGGTAAAGTAAAGTCTTGATCTTCTTTTGGGATTAAAGATATAAAGGCTCTACCCCATGACGGGGGAGTCTCTAAACCCTGTAATATATTATTAAAAAGCTCGCTTAAAGGTTGAATCATCTCTTGTACCAAAGTTTTATAATAAATAGATGTCAAGCCATCCGTACCCGGTGCTTTACCTAATTTTAATTCTTTAATCACTGTCTCAATTTCCTCACTAGTAATCGAGCCATTGATTTCTTGTTTCTGATCTTCTGTTAATTTAGGGAAGTTTGCTTCATTTAAATAATTATCTATATCTAAAACCTGTACTTTAGTACTCTTATATAATTTTTGATAATAATCTAAAAAAGATTTCTTAATCAACTCCTTCTGATATACCAATTTGCCATTATAATTTATTTTATCTATAATTCTCTGTCTCTGTTTCTTTCTCAATTGGTAAGCCAACCATCTCCCTGGTTTATTAGCATTACAAAATGTATTTTGTTTCATATACAATAAGTTAGTTGCAGTTTGATCAGCCATCAACATATTGAATTGTGATTTAAGCAATTTTATAGATTCTTTAACTTTTTCATCTGTAGGATTTAAAATCAAAGTTTTTTCTTTTAATTTAATCTCATCTTCCAATTCCTTACGTTTCTGAATCTGCTTTTGTTTATAAGCATTATTCATTTGTATCAAAATCCCTCGCATGAAGGCTTTACCTGAATCCCATACCATTGACATTGAAGTTCCCTTATGCATATTTAAAGCAAAATAATCCTTTAACTGTTCCTTTAATTTTTGAACATTCTTTTCTTGTCTAAATAAGTTTTCATTCCTCCTCCATGATCTCCTCTCCTCTTTTTCATCAACCAACTCCATCCAAACTGGACCATGATCCGTCAATGTCCTAGGAAAAAATTTAACATTCTTTACCCTAAAATATAAATCAGTTGTAATCAAGAAAAAGTCAATTCTTGAGAAGGATTGGTGTCTATCTGAAAAGAAAGTGAAGTCTCTCTCCTCCTGATTGTGTTCACGCCAGTAATCTCGCAGCTCCCAGTCCTCTTTCAAATCAAAAAAAGCTTTAGGTAATTTAGCCTGTTTAAAAGAAATGGAAGATCCTTTTTTATCTCTTTGTGTATCTAACACACCATTCCAGTCACCCATTAATATAACAGATATGTAGTCCAACAAAGTTAATTTCTGGTGTAACAATCTATAAATTGTTCCGTTGTTGATTTGGTGCATACAGTCCCACTATAAGTACTTTCTTTTTTTTTTTTTTTTTTTTTTTTAAATTTTTATTCATTAATACAATTAAAACAACAATGGACAAACATGACATTCCAGAGTGAATTTTTCTATCAGTTCCTATCATAGTACAAAAATTTTATAATTTTATAATTTTTTGTTCTTAACCTCTATATAAACCTCATCTTTTATACAATACAATTATATATACAATTATATGTACAGTTATGTATATCTTTTAGTTCTACCATTAGTTTGAAGTCCGAGCAGTTCTTAATTCATACCAGCGGTAAAATTTGCCCCAGATTTCGAAGTATTCGTGTTCCGTTTTGTCTTTCATAATCATTGTAAGCCTGTCCATCTCAGCACATATTAAAATTTTATGCAGGATCTCTTCTTCCGTTGGGGTTTCCTTGTTCCTCCAATTTTGAGCAAAAACCAGCCTGGAGGCCGTTAAAATGTGTAGCATTAAATAAAATACGCCTTTGTCATGTTTTTGCGTAGTTAAACCTAATAGA